AGAGGGGGGCGGGGGATTCAATAAAGTGACGTGGGGCTGGTTCAACCAATGAGGTTGTGAGCCCATAATAGAAGACAAGTGGTCTCTTTCCCCGCATCCCCCCCTGTGCTTTCAGTGAACATGTGTCCTGCTCATGCACGCTCGTGTGCCGCGATGTCCCCATTGAGGGCCAAGTCACACCATATCCAGTGCATTCGGGCGCGGTCCAAGCCTGGAACGCACTGGATCGCATAGATCAGGGTGGGCCGCATTCTGGGGGCATGGCAGTGCCGTTCATGTCATTGGCACTGCAGGCACACTCGTGCCAGTAGTGCAATTGCCGACACCGGAACACAAAGTACAGGAATGCCCCCCCATTCTGGTGCAGTGCGATCAGAAAAAATGCTACGGTACATGCGCTATTTTATCCGATCGCACTGCACATCAGTGTTAATTTTGACAGCAGATTTCGATTTAGTTTTAGTCCTCTGAATTGTTTTAGTCGAGTAAATATTCTAAGATTGTAGTTGACTAAATCTCCAGTCGATGTACTCTACTAAAATCTGGTGGGTTTAGGTAAAGAGTCATTCAAGAATTTCTCTAGAATTTCCAATGTCATATATACTCCCGGCGTACACATCTGTTATTACTTCTGGTATTAAGGTTTGAACACGCAATACAGACCCAGATTTCACTGTTGTGATATATAAGATGACTTTATCTTCAAATGAGATGAAACCAAATCTTATAAAGTGACCATAATATGGAGTGTTTTCACCAAAGGACCGGTAATTGGATGTATTGATTATAATAACTTGCATGTGACATTCTTCATTCTTTCAAGCAGAAGTGCAACTCTAAAATATGGAAAACTATACTGGCTGTAATGCCATTGCACATATTACCTATTCACTGTCCATTCAGGATGGAACCAGAGCTGGAAGTCCAAAGAGATTAGTTCTGATTGGATCTCATCCAAAATCGTCTCTCCCTAAGATTTTAGTCTAGTTTTATTCGGTTGATGAAAATGTCCAAATATTTCTGTTATAGTTTTAGTCATTAAAACTTAGTTTTATTTCGTTTTAGTCACTACGAAATTAACACTGCTTCACCGGAACAGAGGGCAATCCTGTACCTCCCGTACCGGTGCGGGCGATCGCCGTGCCATTGACATGAATGGCGCCGCCATGCCCCCTCCCGCCCCAGAACGTGGCCCGGCCTGATCTATGTGATCCAGTGCGTTCTGAGCTCGGAAATCGCTGGATATGATGTGACTGGGCCCTCAGTTCAGTGGGGCCTTCACACGCAGCAAAAAAAAAGCTCATGTAACTCATGTATTTTGCAAAATGCATTCCATGTTTTTGCTACTGTGTTTGTGTGCACTTTAATGAGCGCAAAACGCACATCTTCCTGGCCGCGTTTGGGGAGCAGGACAAATGCCATGCGTGTTTTGCCTTGTTTCTGTGAAGGGATGCCAAATGCTCACTAAGACGCGCAGGTGTGAATGTGGGCTTGGTGGTCCTGTCACTGGAGACTTGTCACCTGCAATAGTATCCCTCATCATGACCCACAAAAGTGTGTGTGTGTGTGTGCGCGTGCACATATCAAGGTGCCCTTTCTTAAAGCAGAACTAAAATAAATTACTTTCAAGCCGACTCGTTATTGCAGAGGGGACGTGCTAATCCTCTGCTGCAAAAAAACAAACTTACCTGCCTGTTCACATTCTTCTTTAGGGTCACCCTACAATCTGGCCAGTCAACTTTACATTGATCAAAACTATGTCATATGAGAACTGACTCAATCTGTATCCAATCAGACCGGCCCCTGCACTACATAGTTGTTGGTAGATCTAAAGGAGATTGTACCATAAGATTGTAACGTGTGCTGAGCTTTAGACTGTACACTGAGCTATGTATGCATTACAGCCCAGCCAATCAAGGCAGCTGAAGTTCCTGAACCTGGAAGAAGGCCGGGGGAAGATGCCGTTGAGGGAAGTTAGTTTGCACTTTACAGCAGCCACATATTTCCATTAGAATATCAGAGTATTTTAATGTTCCAAACAACGAATGTGCTCCATCTTTAGCAATGCTCGGTATGTGCGTTGTGCAGTCTATCGCAGGTTCATTAGAGTGTTGGAGCGCACTTAGCATCATGGGTCCAGTGACTTCATGGATCCATTCTTTTTATTACATGAACAGTGGTCAGGTAATGACATGGAAGCACACTGCAGTAGTACTGAGCCTGGCTGTGTGATGACAGGGTGTCCATGACAGTGAGGAATACAAATCCCAGCAATACATTATACACTGTATGTATAATGTATTGCTGGGATTTGTTGTATTTCTATATAGCTGGTGGTATTTTGCATTGCGCTGTATAATGTACTATTGCTGGGTTTTGTAGTCCTCTATAGTCGATGCCATTCTTCATCATTGCTGTATAATTTTACACTTTTCATTTCACTATATTGCACACCACACTTTTCTTTTTTACTTCCACCGCTCCAAGCTTGCTCCTGTGATGGAGTGCAATCTCAATACAAACTAGTAGTCCCATCATTGGAGCCATTTTTTAAAATGTATTTTATTTTTTATCCGATTAACCTATTAATCGAACTTAATAATCGGCTAACTAATCGATTTTGAAAATAATCGTTAGCTGCAGCTCTACCCATGAGGCATTGCAAGACTGAGAGGTACAGACATGACCCCCAGAGACAGAGGGATGATGGGATTTGTAGACAAAGCACAGCTGGAGGGCCAGAGTTGCCCACCCCTGGCTTACAATCTCTGATCAGTGACCTCGATTTCTGCGTCTCTGTAGTATATCCGCCATCGGTTGCTTCCTGTCTGTGTTGTGATGTAATCCGCCCTTGCTGGAGTCTGCAGATTGTGACACAGACTGCTTGTGGTGTGTTTTTTATTTCTTATGTGCTGAACCTGCAGGCAGTGCGCAATGTACAGCGACCAATCAGAAATCAGCTTTCATTGTACTCGCTGTGTGTGGTCGATGGATGGTGAGATAATTTACACATTGAAGATCTCATAGCTCGTTGTACTGATGTATAAACGCCCAACTTTGCTCGACCCCCCCCTCCCCCCCCCAGTGCTCTTCAGGGTTCTCTCTGGATCTTGGCTGTGCACACTGCTTTCCGTATCATTGCATAACATGCAGGGTGCCTTAGCAATGCCCCCGCAGGTTCCATGACACCTGAACTCACAGTATGACCCCTTCTGGAGGACTATTTAAAATGTCCAGAGTTGGGCTTTGAAGATGAAACCAAGTACACACCTGCATAAGGGAGTGCTGGAAGCCCCACATGGCATTACCACATACTACCACTTTTGGTACATGGTAAATTGCAAATATCTTTGCTGCAAGTCAGAGATCAGGCTTGCTGCTTTCATCTTGCAGTGCAATGCGAGTGCTTCAGTATCTGACTGAAGAGCATTATGTGTTATAGCTAGTTGGTAATCAGAATGAACAAAAGCAGGATTTTTTTAGTGGTGGGCTCCGTTTTACTACTAGAGCCCCAATGCCTGTGCCTAGAATGGCAGCTCAGTAAATACAGTCATGTCTTTATGGACAGCAAATGGCAGAGACGGGTGAGAATTGGCAGGCAAGGACCAGGCCAGGCATTCCTGGCTCCGTCGAGGTGTTCCTGACATGCACCTTCCACAATGGCTGTCACTACCTCGCTGGCTGGAATGCGGCAGCACCTCATTTGCTACTAAGGGAGCAGTGAGAGTGACATTCTATTGACTCAGCCAGTGAGGAGGTAAGTGGTGTCTGGCGAGTTGTCACCTGCGACTGATCTCCAGTGTCACATGACCCTAATGAGAGCTTTAATGAGCAAACGCAATAAAGCCGTGTCGCGTCTGTCGCGCGGTTTTTTACCGCGATTCGCGGTAAAAAGTCGTGTGATTCCGAAGGCTACTTGGTTGTATCCCAATGGAAAACGCCCTACAAAACGGCCCAAAGTAGTCCCGGACCTTTTCAGGCGTGGGCCGTTTTGTAGGGCGTTAGGGACGGGTGGAAATACGGCAAGGTGGGAACGAGGGCATTGACTACAATGCAATTTATATTTTTGACCGTTTTGTAGAGCGTTCGTCGAGCGTAGAACGCCCTACAAAACGGTCAGGTGTGAACGAGGGCTAAGCGTGCTCCTTATTAAGGTCCTCCTAATGTGTTTAATAATAATGCCCTCACCAGACGTACACAGAAGTTTTCACTCTCAGTGAAAGAGGTCAATGTCCGTATTGTCTCGGAGGACGGACATCTCACACTTTGTGATATATTACCAAAAGTAAACAGTTTTACCAAGTTGAAAAGGAGGGGACACGGAGGAGCAGCAGCAGCTAAGGTACATGGGGGAGGGGGGCAGCGGGGGATTTCACAGCCATAGTCTCTTCTCCCATCTCATGCTGGCTACAGCAGTCTGTGAAAGGGACACAGAACTCTGCAGCCAGCACCAGCAGGGAGAAGAGACTGTGGAGAGTGGAGAGGGAGCCTGCGTTTGGTGGAGAGGTATTCTGGGGCAGGGGCTATGCGGGTCAATGGCCGAAGCTAGTTAAAAATTTTTTTAGGGGCCGGTATCTGATCTAGGCATCGGGGCATTTTCAGGAGTACAAGTACTCCTGAAAATGCCCTGTATCGGCCCGATACCGGTACTAGCATCGGTATCGGGACATCCCTAATCCATATCCAGCTAGAGGTTTGTAAACTTACTTATTGAAGATGGCCATTGGATATACTTCCTCAATGCACTGACACAAGTTCACTCAGCCCTGTGAATATACACTTCCCTGTGTCGCCATTCTCACAGAGCCTACCTTCTGAACTACAACTCAACGTCTTAGCAATGCAACATTATTATTGCTTGCTGGAAGCAATGCATGATGGGATATGTAGTCTTGAGAAATCAAGCTTGCTTCTCATCAAGCAGCAGGGAAAGAGATGCAAAGCACACTGGGAATCCAGGAAGTTGGTGAAAGTGATGGGCAGACTGAAAGCAGCACTCAGTACATAAAAGGGATATTTTTTTTTCATGTAAGCTTTGATTCCATTATCAGAAACATCTCTAGTATGTATTCTTATTACAATGCTGAGGTCATAACAGGAGCGGCTATGCTGGGACTTTACAACTTTTTAAAGTGATGTTGGGTAAGCAAAAGTGAACTGTGTTAGGCAGCATCTGTACATCATGTGACATTGTGACTCTTCTGTGTCTTGCAGGATATCCAGTGCACCATAAAGAGCAGTAAGTACTTGTCACACGTGTGACATCTTTATATGAAATCCCTGAACATGTATAGACTATGTGCCATGATATATTTCCATTTCAATGTTTTTTAGGTGTGTCTTTGATTTTTATATTATGTTGTATACATTGCAGTCACTAGATGGCATCACGTACAGCATAAGCCACCAGGATTCTATTCCGGGGTGGGACAATCTATAGCTCAGTGACATTCCTACAAACTTTCTTTGACTCTGCAGTCTGCTATATAGTCTGTGTGATTTGTGAAAGTGTCAGACATAAACTAGGTGTGTGCATGTGTTCAATGAATATAGCTTCTCTTAACTGCGTGGTCAACAACAAAGTCACTACCTTTTAAGCAGATAGGTCAGAGCCTTCCATTGGATAATAGGTCTAGGTTCATCAACGTTGTGTCCCCCCAAAAAAATGAAGTCAGCTGCCGACCTGAATATACTGATTGATCAGGTTTTTCCATCAATTGATTTTCTCTTCCCTGAGGGCACATTGGGTATATTCCAGGATGACAATGCCAGGATTTATCGGGCTCAGATTGTAAAAGAGTGGTTCAGGGAGCATGAGACATCATTGTCACACATGGATTGCCCACCACAGAGTTCAGACCTTAACCCCATTGAGAATCTTTGGGATGTGCTGGAGAAGACTAGTGCCCCGACTCTCCCATCATCACTACAAGACCTTGGTGAAAAATGAATGCAACTTTGGGCGGAAATAAATGTTGTGATATTGCATAAGCTTGTTGAAATCATACTTCCGCACAAGACCGGTGTCCATAAAATCCTATTTTTTTGTAGTAAATTCATACAAGATCCAAAATACAGCAAATACACCACCAAAAGATCTCTCCCACTTTCATGCATTTCACCACCTGGGCTTAATCCTAGAGGTTTGACTTTAATATCGCTTTAAGCTCCTGCAGCCCCCCCTCCCCAAAGTCTTCAGACCCCTGTATGGACACAGGAACCCAATCATGCAGATCAGTTGACCCTTCCTACTGTAGTTAGTTATGTAACCTACAAGTTCTAGAGGCTGATGATGCTGACTAATGGCACACCCGTGTTCTCCGTCAGGTTCCTGTTTTGACTTTAGCTGGCTCCAGACTTTTAATTGGACTCCGAACGCCCCATCGCACATGGAGGTCACAGTGGGGATTGGGCAGAATGAACTGGGTCGGAGAGTGCCACTTCTCCAAATAAACTGGACCATCAGCATTGACTGTAAGTGAATTCTCAACATAGATCGGATTGTACTGACATAAGCCCCCTTCATAGTTCTGTGTGGTAATGCGTGGGAAATACATGCGCTTTACCACACATTGCATCAAAGTATGGTAGTGAAAAGTACAGCTGGTGCTCCATGTTAAAGGCGTATTCCACCTTTTGATGAAGTGTATGTTGCTGTCTGTACCTTCCTATCCCAGTGACAACTGCTCCCCCAATTTCATGTATGGGTGTCACCAGGGCAGAAGTGAGGGGAAAAATCAATTTAAAAAAAAAAAATGTTTTAATACTATATGTTTTATATGTTGAAGACTTCAGTTGTGTGATCTCTGCTGTCCTTCACCTCTCACAGCCAGCATCAAGGAGCTGCAAGGGGTCGAGATCTCCGTCCTAGAAGTCTCCACCAACGTGGAGCGCTGCATCCAGTTCCAGTTCAATAGCCACTTCACCAAACAGGCCCATTTAAATGGGCAGCCGGTAAGTGACTGAGGAACTACGAGGTGAGTTCTGAGAGGAGACTGGGGAATTATGGGGTGACCTCTCAGAGCAGATTGTGGAATTATGGGATTACCTCTCAGAGCAGATTGTGGAATTATGGGGTGACTTCTGAGAGGTGTCTGAGGAATTATGGGGGGATCTCTCAGAGCAGACTATGGGATTACCTCTCAGAGCAGATTGTGGAATTATGGGGTGACTTCTGAGAGGTGTCTGAGGAATTATGGGGGGACCTCTGTGAAGAGACTGAGGAATTATGGGGGGACCTCTGAGAGGAGTCTGAGGAATTCCAAAATATAAGAACATATGTCCTGCTTATGTCTTACTAGGGTCTAGTGCAGGGACGTGCGGTCAGGGGAGGCAGGTGAGGCTGAGCCCCACCTAGAATTATGGAGGAATAAGCTGTCAGCTTCAAGTCTGAGGCTGACACCTTTTTCTCCCTTCAGATCGGCTTCTAACAGGTTGCAGAGTAGGGAAAGCCTCCCCGCTGTGTAACTTGTCGTGGATGAAGCGCTGCCTGTCAAAAGCCGGATGCAGCGCTGCATCCGGCTTTTGACAGGTAGTTAGTGAGGGACAGGAGGCTCCTCCCTGTCTCCTCCTTCACACTAATTTTGGGGTGGGGCTTCATCAGGTGGGGCTTCGGCCGGCAGGGGGGGCAGCAGACAGGGCAGGGCTTTGGGGGGTGGGGCGGGGCAGGGAATGCCTCACCCGGAATATGAGGTACCGCACTTACTAGTCTAGTGGTGCTATGCCCAGATGAGCAATTGATTGTGCTGTATTCTATACTTGTATCATTGATGTATAGTCATTTGTCATTTTATTTCATCATTCCAGTGGCAATTTTACTCCAACAACTTTGAAGTGAATCCGGGCCAGGAGTACCATGTGACCGTGCAGCACCTGCCCAAGCAGGAAGGAGTTAATTACAAAAGGAAGCAGATAATTGCGCCAAGTAAGACCTGTCTTGTGCTTGATCCCAACTCTATTGCCCCCACCACAGTTTTCTCTTCTGTGACCCGTCTCTCCTCTCTCCGCAGGGTGCAATGATGGTGACATGATGCGGACAGACACCTGCTGTAATCTAGGTATGGAGGTATTTTCTGTCCATATTAATAGATGGGGATGATTTTTCAGCTGTGGGCTGTCATGGAGGACTCCTAAAAATTGTTACCTTGCAGCTATGGACAGCAGACTGACACAAAGTGGTAGAGCAAGTGTTGAGTTTGCAGTTTGTGTTTTCTAGGGGAATCACAGATTTTGGTACTTTTTTTTTTACAATTCAGCTAAAATCAACAGATATGCTATCTGGTGTTTATCAGAGAGTTAGGGGGTTGGAGTTCACAGGGGGTTGAACATTTTGATACTCACTCCAACACTTTGATAAACTTTGGCTCTATTAAAAAATGGATCTATAAAAAAAAAAAGTACAGAGCACAAATGTAATTCCCCTTATATATCATGGACTTTTCCAGCCTGTACCCCAACCCCTGGCTGCTTCCACCTAGAACCAAGGTCTGTAGTTCCTTTTAAACCTGAATGCTAATCATAACTCTAACCCCACAACGCCAACTATAACCCTAACTCTATTCCTAACACCATCTATAACACTAATTCTAATCCCAACACCAGCTATGACCCTAGCTATAACTCATAACTCTAACCCTAACAGCCTTAACTTTAACCCCACAACACCAACTATAACCCTAACTCTAACCCCAACACCAACTATAACCCTAACTCTATTCCTAACCCCATCTATAACACTAATTCTAATCCCAACACCAGCTATGACCCTAGCTATAACTCATAACTCTAACCCTAACAGCCTTAACTTTAACCCCACAACACCAACTATAACCCTAACTCTAACCCCAACACCAACTATAACCCTAACTCTATTCCTAACCCCATCTATAACACTAATTCTAATCCCAACACCAGCTATGACCCTAGCTATAACTCATAACTCTAACCCTAACAGCCTTAACTTTAACCCCACAACACCAACTATAACCCTAACTCTAACCCCAACACCAACTATAACCCTAACTCTATTCCTAACCCCATCTATAACACTAATTCTAATCCCAACACCAGCTATGACCCTAGCTATAACTCTAACCCCACAACACCAACTATAACCCTAACTCTAATCCATAACACTGCTATGACCCTAGCTATAACTCTAACCCTAACAGCCTTAACTTTAACCCCATAACCCTAACTCTAATCCCAACACCAGCTATGACCCTAGCTATAACTCTAACCCTAACAGCCTTAACTTTAACCCCATAACCCTAACTCTAATCCCAACACCAGCTATGACCCTAACTCTAACCCCAACACCAGCTATGACTAACTATAACCCTAACTCTATTCCTAACACCAGCTATAACACTAATTCTAATCCCAACACCAGCTATGACACTAACCATAACTCTAACCCTAGCTATGACACTAACCATAACTCTAACAGCCTTAAATCTAACCCCACAATACCAACTATAACCCTAACTCTATAACCATAAATGTAATTATATACACAATGCACTAGTATTAGCAGACTATGAGTGTCTTTTATTATGCGTTGATCCTGCCAGTAGATCTGGTTTTTGTTTTTTTGTTTGTTTTGTTTTACTTCCCGTAAAAAGGTGACAATGCTGTTTATGTGGTGAAATTGCACAGCAGCCTTGTCAGTAACAGCTACAGTTTTTTTTTTTAATGGGGAGGGGGGAGGAAAGGGTTTAAACCATATGACTAAAAGCTGCGTTGTATTCCCCCCCACCCTCGGCACTGTTATATAGTTTCTCCTAACCCCTGTAACTGGTACTCTTGTTGGACAGCTTGGCCTGTTACATTAAGTTAAAAAATAACAGATCTACTGGCAGGATCCACAGGTAATAAACTGGTATCCATTTATCACTAGGTCACCAGCATGTGTTGGCCCGGAGGGAGACCTCCTGGTATTGGACATTGAAGTAAATTTGGTTTATTTTTTTTTCAGGGCTCTGCTGGTATCCAAATATTACAATAACGCATGAAGGGGAAAACCTAACTGTTGAATTCAGCCCGCGATGGGATGCAACGGAATATGGAGTTGACGTGAAAGTCAGAGATATGCGAAATAAATCATTCCAGAAAGTCTCAACCCAACAGGTAATCAATAAAGTAAAAGCAACAAAGTGATGTGAATATGGACGTGTTGGTGAATATATATGTGAAAGCTCCCACACCTGACGCAATGTATCTCTTATGCAGCTTGTTCTGTATTGGTCATTTTAAGCTGAAGTTGAAGGGAACCTGTCAGTTCAGTGTTATGTTTCCCTGAAGCTTACTTGTTTTAGAAGGTGCGTGTTCTGTGCTGTCATCCAGAGTCTCCATCTTCTGAGTTCCTGACCTGATATAAGTGTGCCTGGTTCATTGACTCTGAGTAGTGTGGCAAGGATGAAGATGACAGGCGTGTATCATTCACCTTCAAAAACAAGTTGGCAACTGCAGCTAGAATTAGAGTCAAGATTGGAGATTACGCGTTTTTATCGGGGAATCACAAATGTTGGCCTTAATACTGTAATTCAGCTTAGACTAACAGATATGTTGTCTGACTTTTATCACAAAGTTAGGGGTTGGGATTAAGCATTAAGTGCCAGAGCCGTCCCTGCCCTAACGGCCTTACTGATGCCATGGGGGGGAGGGGGTGCTTCGCTGGCGTTGGGTTGCTGCTGAGCTGTTATTGCTTTTGGGGGGGACAGGGGTGGCAACTGACACAGTAGGACAGACGGCTGGGTCAGAGCTCTTGGGGACGCTCTAGGACGCTGTGGCCGCCCCTATAATGAGATGCCGCCTGAAGCAACAGCCTCAGGCTGCCTCATTTTAGCAATAGCCCTGCTCTCTCCCCTTATAAATCATGGTCTTTTGATTGTAACTTTTACCCCAACCCCTAATGTTTCCACCAACAGGACCCTGTGCCAAGGTATTTAATGCCTTATAAACACTAACCCTAACACCAGCTATAACCATTATACCAGATAGAGCCCCAACTCTAACACCAGCTGTAACCCTAATATCAGGTATAACCCTGACACTAGCCCCAATACCAGGTAGAGCACTAAATCTAACCCTAACACCAGGTGTAAGCCTAACCCTGTAATACGCTGTAACATACTAGTTGGTCTTCACAAAATGATAAGATTTCCAGACTGCTCCCCTTGAAGGTTACACTGGGTATATGTGGAAGAATCATACAGGATGTTGGCTGTGTGTTGGAAGATGTCCCTCTAGATATACAGTAACTTCCCAATCAAGCAACCGGCAAAAGAAAAACATAAGAGAACATATTTCCTCATGGTTTCCCCCCCCCGGTGGTGACTTGGTACACATGAAAAATGCTGGTTGCTTGGTACACACTAAAAAATTTCATTAGCAACTACATTTATTGGTGGTTGCTTCAGAGTTACTTTTAACACTCAAGCAACCAGAAACTACAGTTATCCGACCACTACCGATCCCCATGGGTGCCAGATAACTGGGCGTTTACTGTGCTTATTATACACTATTGATCATGTTCTTTTTATGCAAATAATACTTTGGGGAAAAAAAACCTAATTCATTTTTGTAAGATGCATCTGAAAATCTCAGCTTTTTTAAAAAATGTGTCTCTTCCTGCAGGGAATTCGACGTGTACAAGCTACCTTCCCTCGTATTGGGGGTTACATAGATATGGAATGCGTGTATAACATAGCGGTAATGTATCCCCCTTGGGGTCCATATTTACTTTTAAGGTTGCACCCACTCAGAAGTGATGTGTGGATTTCTAACCTCATTATAACCAGATCTCTTTCTTGTGTCTGGTTGTAGGTGTGGCCCTACATGCCGTCCTGTGATAATGACTGCGTGCGTCTGTACTACGTTCCACCGTGCGCCACAGAAACTCCTCTCCCTCCAGGTGAGTTATATTGTTGTATTATGTTTGTTGGATGAAAAACCTATTTACTGTAAAATGATTTCACTGCAACCTCCAACATTATCTTAGAATCATTTACTGCTTTTCTGTAAAAAAAAAAAGACTGCCCTCCCCAACTGTAGGGAACATGCACATATCCTCAGTATGTCACCTTATGTTAGATGAAGATGGTTTTATTGGTCCTTTTTAAAGATGTTTTTGGGCTCTTATTTATTTTTAATTAAGCAAGGAAAAACTGAATGTAAATTGGAAGTCTTCCCCCAAAGGAGCATTCCTTATCCTGCCACCAGGGGTTGTCCCGGTTTGTCAGTGGCAGTGCTGCTTTCCAGATTCAGACTGCTGACCAATGGCAATGCTGTCCAACAACCACCAAGTGACATTGGCTGCTCCCCTTAGCCCTGTTCAAGAGCACCAATTTCTCAATTTTAATGGCATCTTCAGTGTTTGGAACAGGGGCAAATGGTGCATGCCACAGCTCCAACCTCTGCAGCAGGCACACATGCAGTTTGATTGGCCATGAATGCCTGCTGCATGATTCGGTGGTGGTGAGTGAAGTGTTTCCTGGCATCGGGGCCCTTTACAACCACTCTGACTTGAGATAGGACCATTCCTTCCTGTTGACTGGGCCAAAGTTCGACAAGTGTATGCCCCAGCTAGGGCTGCAACAACTAGACGTTTGTTTGTTGTTTTAGAAGCGCCAAGGGCAATCCTTAACCCTCACACAATGGAGGAGTACTGAGCATATGTGCAGGGTGCAGCCCCAAAGCATTTCAAGGGAACTGGAACATCTGAACAAAAGCAAAAAAGGGGGCCTTTCCTAGTGCAGATTTGTTTAAAGGAGAACTATGAGGTGAGTGATTTCCACTCACCTCATAGTTCTAGCCGACCTGTGACAATGAGACTGTCACAGGTCGGCTCAGTAGATCGGGAAGTGAGCGAACACATACCAGGTTCGCTCACCTCTCGATCCTGTCACGGCTCTCTGCCGTGACAGGGTGAGGGGCTGGATTCCCCTCTCCCCGCTCCGATCTGCCAGCGCTGACTGGTGGAACGGGAGGGGGCGGGTACAGCTGGCTCTGCCTCTAGATAGGCAGAGCCAGCTGTCACTCACGCAGCTGGGCGGATCTCGACGTCGATGTCGGGATCCGCTCCGGCATCTCAGTATACCGCGAGCTGTAGCTCGCGGTATACTGAGCTTAGGGTAATGGGAGGACGCTAGTTTGTGTCCTCCCGTTA